GCTGTTGTGTTGGGTGAGGTCTGTTTTTAATCTGAAATGGGCGGGCTACAATCATGCCTCATTAAGAACGGTTCGGGTTATTTTTTGGGGTTTCTGAAAAACTCGTTTTCTAGACAACCAGGTCTTCGAAGGGCTATGCGGAAGCCGCATGGTCGTTTTCGTAATCAGCATGGTCGATAACCTATAACCCACCAGATTCCGAGCAAAAAGCGTTTAATCACTTCGTGGGGTTCCCTCGTGAGCTGAAATCTTTAAAATCACAAACATTATCCGTAACTCCAAAAGTCACATCGATTGTGTCGACGTCAGAGAAGAAGTCAAAATAGAATGATGATGAAAGTCGACTAGTCCCGTTTCGTTTCCTGTGCCAAGGCGAAAAACTCAAATTTTTCCTGTTTTTCTTTTAATGTGAAATATTGTTTATCAGTTTCGAATAACTATCGAATACTCTTGCTATACTTTTGATTGTAGGCCACAAACACCCGCTCTAGACACAGCTATCAAATCAAGTTCCATCAAAAGATTGTCGAGGACCTACCTATGAAACGTTTTGCTACTTCTCATAAGTATACACCGGTGACAAAAATAAATCAAATCTATAAATAGAAAGCACAAAAATGTCCTTCAGCGACTTTTGTATATTTTATTTCGCTTGATCACCAAATATATTCCTACTCAAATCAAGTTGAGTTAGACTCTGATTTACTTTTAATGCATCACTTAATGCTCGAACACCATTATCACCAATTATGTTACTACTCAACTGCAGTTGAGCTAGACGCTGATTTACTTTTAATGCATCACTTAATGCTTCAGCACCATTATCACCAATTCTGCTACTAATCAAACCAAGGTGAGTTAGACTCTGATTTACTTTCAATGCATCACTTAATGTTTGAGTACCATTATCACCAATTTCGTTAAAACACAAATCAAGTAGTGTTAGACTCTGATTTGCTTTTAATGCATCACTTAATGCTCGAGCACCATTATCACCAATGCTGTTACTACTCAAATCAAGCTGAGTTAGACTCTGATTTACTTTTAATGCATCACTTAATGCTCGAACACCATTATCACCAATTCCGCTACTAACCAAACCAAGGTGAGTTAGACTTTGATTTGCTTTTAATGCATCACTTAATGCTCCAGCACCATTATCACCAATTGTGCTCATAGTCAAACCAAGGTGAGTTAGACTTTGATTTATTTTTAATGCATCACTTAATGTTTGAGCACCATTATCACCAATTTTCTTATAAGTCAAACTAAGACGCGTTAGACTCTGATTTGCTTTTAATGCATCACTTAATGCTCGAACACCATTATCACCAATTCTCTTAAAACTCAAAGCGAGGTGAGTTAGACTTTGATTTATTTTTAATGCACCACTTAATGTTTGAGCATCATTATCACCAATTTCGTTAAAACTTAGATTAAGTTGAGTTAGACTCTGATTTACTTTTAATGCATCACTTAATGCTCGAACAGCATTATCACCAATTCTGTTAAAAGTCAAAGCAAGATGAGTTAGACTTTGATTTACTTTTAATGCATCACTTAATGTTTCAGCACCATTATCACCAATTTCCTTATAAGTCAAACTAAGTCGAGTTAAACTCTGATTTACTTTTAATGCATCACTTAATGCTCGAACAGCATTATCACCAATTCTGTTACTACTCAAATCAAGCAGAGTTAGACTTTGATTTACTTTTAATGCATCACTTAATATTTGAGCACCAATTTTACCAATTCTGTTAAAACTGAACTGCAGTTCAGTTAGACTTTGGTTTACTTTTAATGCATCACTTAATGCTCGAACACCATTATCACCAATTCTGTTACTGCTCAAATCAAGTTGAGTTAGACTTTGATTTGCTTTTAATGTATCGCTTAATGCTCGAACACCATTATCACCAATTCTGTTCCAACTCAAATCAAGTTGAGTTAGACTTTGATTTACTTTTAATGCATCACTTAATGCTCGAACACTATTTTGACCAATTCTGTTATCACTCAAGTGCAGTTGAGTTAGACTTTGATTTACTTTTAATGCATCACTTAATGCTGGAACACCATTTTCAGCACTTCTGTGATCACTCAAGTGCAGTTGAGTTAGATTTTGATTTACCTTTAATGCATTACTAATTAGTTCAATGTCCTGAGCCGCTAATGCTTTTGTGGATAAAGTAATTTTAGATGGTGTTATGTTGCATAATAATTGCTCTACTATGTTAGTTATTTCGCTCGAAAGATTGAACCTAATTGCTAATGTTTTTGATGTTGGCTTGTGTGTTACTGTGGATGCTGAAGAAAAGAAATACAAGTAGGCCTGATGTAATTTTCTAAGTAACTTTTGAGCATATGTTATGTAGAGACAACTGTTCGAGAGGTCTGTTGCACAATTGTGAGCTGCAGATCATCTATTCTATGTGATTAAAGTGGCAGAATCGATGTTCGGAAAAATTCTGTTTCATCTGTGACAGGTTCAAAGATCTTTTCCACTTTATTTATATTACAGCAGTTTGCGAGAAAAGTAAGCTGACAGATTTAACGGAGAAGAGAACGATTAATAATATGAGCTTGATGTATACGGTCTAGCGACATAACGAAAAAAGCAACCAAGCTCAAGTGGATTCTCGTCTGAGCCTTAATTAACCATCAAAATCAGGCATCAAGCGGGATGCTCATCTATTCAAACTAGGCTTGCACCAGTTCCAATCTTAGGCTTGGAGGATTGGTACCAGTTAGGCTTGGTACCAATCCCACCAATGTCCAGTTAGGATTGGGTTTCAAGAAATATACGAAATGCGAGACTTAGTTTTATATAGCTACGTGACATATAAAATCTTTCAGTGCAAATACGGCAGTCAGCAAAATAAAAACACTCAACCGTCGTTTAAGACCTGAAAGTGGCATAAAAGTTCAACGTTTAAACGATTGTTTAATTTTTCATTGGCGATGGTGGAAGTGACGCTGATCTATTAATTAAATAATTTTAAAACTACGGGTAGTGGGCTAAAATAAACCTCGTCAACAGAAAAATAAGAACAAACTTGTGAGAGGGTGATCTTTTTGAAGTAAAAAAGAAGTACGAAAAACGTATTCTAAGCACATGGTGCAATGACGGTTCCATCTTAGCTTGTACGATGAAACTTTCGCCTACTACATTCGACCAAGCCTAACTGGAGATTGGTGGGATTGGTACCAAGCCTAACTGGTAACAAGCCAAGTCTGTGTTCGGAGCCTCATCTAACGTCACAGTTAGCTCAAGACTAAGATGAAACAAAGATCATACATACTTACTCTGCAATACTTAAATGAAGATGCCATCGAATGCACCATCTGTATACAGATTCGACGTCTCACAGAGAAACAGCGTCTGATTCATCAGCGGCACGACCAAAAAATGCAGAGCCGTTGAACAGAGATCTGGGTTGTCTCGCACGTGACAAACGAGACATTAGACGAAAAATCTAATACAGCTGTCTGTCTGTCTAGCAGATACTAACTTCTGCCGTAATTCTTATGATCGGTCGCTGAATTAATCATATTAGTTAATTAGTAATAAATGATTAATAATCATTGTCAATCAGCATTTTCTCTGCTGATGAATGAATGTATAATGCTCAACTCTCTCTAGCTCCCTCCATCTATTTACTTGGAAGGAGTATTCTAGTACTTGATTTTGTATAGACCAATTTTAATTTATTTATTTTAATATTTTTTCTCATAAACCAAGCAATCAAAATGGCTGGTAGATGCCTTGGAAATCAAACCAAACATAGTGTATGGGAGAATGAATTGTCCTTCACAATTGGAGACAACTCCCAGCTCTCCGTGATCTTTTGTTAAGGAGACATGTACTTTTTAAAGGCTGGCACTTTACGCTGCCATTACTGCTCACAACTGTCATCAAGCTCACAAAACTGTAATCAGATCTGTGTAATTATATTTGTCCGTTCGAAGGTGCAAGCCGAACGGTATTGAGAGGGAAGGAACCTTTCTCTGGATTCTGACGATTCTAATAAAGCCTGAATGATTCAATGACATTACCGGCTCATATAGTGAGTAAAGCCTTTTTCGTGAAAAAAGAAGAAATATTCCGTTCAAACTATAAAAGAAAAATCCTGTTCCATCTGTGACAGGTTCAAGGATCTTTCTCTAATTAATTTCTAAAAGTTTGATTAAAATAAGTTACCATTAATTTTGCTCTCGCCGCTACGTCTGCTTATCTGTCATACTATACAACTCTCTCTTTGTTGAGTTTTGTTAGACAACTTGTTTGAGATTAAACAGTAAAACGACTGAGTTGTTAGCCAGGTCAATGACGCTACCAGCCTCGGTCAAATAATTGGTTTTGCTTTTAGGGCCAATTACAATGAACATATGAGGATAAAGGGTTTGCTGATTTTTCTGAATGAGAAGGGTAGAATTAATTTGGACTTTTATATAAGAGAAGAACATCAGTTTTTCGCTCTTTGGACTGGAATAAACTGCTGATATTTCATAATTAGGTCAGAAGTACTCTTTCATCATTGATTCAAAGTATGATGCTACTTTCGACATAATCTGCTGTAAGTACAACACTATTAAGCAGCATGAAAACAAAGCTTAACTTACGCTCAGCGACAGTTTGAAATGTATCGACAAGCATGGAGTTCACGGTTATTGTAGAATTGCTGTTATTCTCACTTGGCATTACTGTAACTTCGTTTGCGTGAATATGTAGTGGGAAATTAGAATCTGTGATGCTGACGATCTCACTACTGTACTCGACTATTCGATTTTTATTCATCCATTCAATGATTAAATTATTGACCTGTTGTTTATAATTTGGTTTGTAACGGAAAACAAGTTCAAATGGAGATTTTGATTGGCCTTTATAGACTGTTGTATTCACGGCTACTGTTATAGGCTCTAAACACAATAAGACCTCATTCTCTCCCTTAGCTTATTTTTGTAATGAGTTGCCCGATGCTACTTACCCAAAATTATACACCAACTTCGAAACTTTTCGTACTTCAGTCTATCTAGTAGTTCATGGCCGAAACGAAAAGTTTCGAGAGGAATCGTTGTGATATTTATATAGCTCAACCAAGTAGCTGAAGTCAAGTTTTCTATTACGTTTTGAATGAGAACTTCATCTCTGTTTGAGGAAAGAACACGAGGGGTTCCGAACTGACTAAATATAGATTGTAATGTTAGACAAATTGTCTCCACACTGTCATCATTTAGCGGAAGCAGCCAAGAATATTTTGTACTACGATCCCACATGTGCATTAGCCATTCGAACGTCGAGTCAGAATTGCTTCTTTTATCGATTAATTCAACATGAATGTGCGACATGAAATGAAGTGTTGTCTCATTAGCTTTGAGATGGGTTCCACATCGTCCTTGTTCGTACATTTTTTACAGGCGCGAATATAAATTTGAACTGCCTTATATGGAACTCGACCGTATCTAGAACTGATCTAAATAAATACACAACAATGAGTTGATCAGAGTTTAGAGAAAAATGATGGCAAAGTCTTCAAATGTGCCCCCTTGACGAATTTGACATGTGCACGATATGAATAAGTTATTTTTGCTGTCTATATTTTTCCAGTATATTTTCTAGGAAGTTACTTTTAGAGCAAATAATACAAACCTCTTTCCATGTTGCGTCGCGTCCGCAATGCCCCTGTGGTGTTTCGTGGTACTCTTTAATCTTATCATAAAGTTGTTCATGCGTAATTACTTGAAGAATTTTTTTATTTTTTTTATCTTTTTTGATTGAGTGAACAACGTCTAACTTATCCAACTGAAAATCTCGTTCAATCTGATATTTAAAACTGGCTGTCGATGCTTTTCCGTGTTTCAGAACATCGAATATCTGGTTGTACATCGTCTGTTTAATTGTGTATCTCGAACGTTTTTTCTCCGAAAGATTCGCAATGTATGCATCGAGTTTACGATAAAAAATGTCTGCCATAATATGAGCTGTCAATCTATAACTTAAAAAAAGTATTTAATTCATTTGTCGTGCAGTAAAAGTAAATTTCACACTTTGGTTAAATGAAAACAAAATTTGTTTCTCTCTACTCATCCGCCTGGGAAAATGTTTTTTTGTGCACGTAATTAATGAAATAAAAATAAAGACAGATTTGTGCACGGTTTTTCAACGAATAAAGAGATTTTCGTTTTACATGCAGATGCCTAAACAAATAAGATGATAGATGAACAGATGTCTGATTTAATACAAACGTCTATGTACTTTTTCCAGAGTATTTAGTGACTGAAATGTATGATAAGTTTTGAAAATTGGTGTAGAGTGTATTAATACTTGTTTTTTGAAGTCCACCTGATGAATCATCTCTTTGAGAATTAATTCAACCCATACCGTTCAGAAGACGCTCTAAGTATTTCTTCTTTAAACAAAAATCATGTCAAGAAAATTTTGAAGTTTTGTTAATAATCTTTTAGAAAAAGATAATTTGGACGTTTATTTAAATCATAATCAAGTATCAAAATTACGAATGTAAAATGTGAAAAAATCGTGCACAAAAAATGTCAGTAGTCAATCAATAGTCTTTTTTCCATGCATCTAGTGTAACTGTGCACAAAAATGTCAAAATATTTTTTAGCGCACGGAAAATAGCAAACCGTGCACAATTCTGAAGAAAACCGTGTACAGAACTCGCCTGTACGAAAAAGGGAACGTTTTTCAAGGCTACTGGCACTATTTGAACTGCATATACGCAAAAATACACATTTGTTAATTCACTCCAAAACTATTTTTCTTCTCCTACAAAATATACGCATATTTTTTGAGAAACGTTTTTCAAGTCCGTCCAGAAAGAGGTTGTTATTAAATTACTAAAAGAACTTTCGTACAAAGTAGCGACATATTCAAGACGGAATAATTCATATTCAACATACAAAACCACACCGTCTAGCTCAATTTACAGCTAAGCTGAAAGTTGTTGCTGCTATTGTAAGAGAAATACGCAAAACAAACGTTATTCAGTTTTAATCCTTATTATTCATTGTTCGGTGATTTTACAACTTACCTACAGACTACTCGTGCTGTAACAGAATGAAAGCGTTTCTTATTTTTAATATTATATACGAAATGTATATGCATTTCTTCTCTTAAAGGTGAATTGCAACTTGCAATTCACCTGAAGAATAATAATGCCTTTGTAATAGAACAAAACAGAAAACAATGTTTTCTTTTTACTTTGTATCATTTTCTCAATCTTGTTTAAGTGAGTTTGAAACTCTTCGTCCCATCCTTCACAATTTGCAACTCACCTGAAGTCACCACTGGTTTAACAGAACAAGAAACACTCTCTTGTATATATAAATAGGAGTACAGCCTGTATTCAGAAATAGAGTACAGCTTTAAATTACTTTAACTAGTCATAAGCATTGTTGAACATTATAACTATTTCTGTAATTCAATTGTAGCAGAGCTGGTATTACAATAAAACGATGACACAACACGAAGGTAAGATGAGAAAAATCTTTATATGTTTAAGACTGCTACAACTAGGTTTCAGGACAATACTGCATAATTAAGCTCTAGTTAGAAATAGTGAGGAACTCGAGTTGACTTGATTACTAGTAGTTCATTCGCAAAATCAGTCAAGAAGTTGAATCGGAGAAAATGATGTTTGTTAGAGTCTCATTTCTCTCGATTCATTAATTACAGCTCAGCTGAAGTCTAATGAGCTTTCGACTAGTGAGTTACTCGTAATAAATTTCTGTTTATTTTTACTTCAAATCAGTCCGGCATGATGAAAATTAGAAATATTCAATTATGTTTTACACTTTTATTCACGAGTGCTATAATAAGACGTTAAAAGTAAAATAATATCATGCCATTTAGTTGTCAAAACTAATTTGTCTGTTTAAACTAACATAATAAATAGATACACAGGGGTATTTTTTTGAATTCTTCATTAAGAAAACATTAATTAGTAATTGTGGGCATGCGGTCTCCGACGCCGTGGAACTGGAAGAAGACTTACTCCAAAAACTGAACGATATTATCCGTTTAATAGGCGCTGGTGAACTTCTTTTATCTAAATCTTAAGTTATGTGTATAATATCTAGCATTGTTAAGAAGAAGAAGCTTTCTTTCTGTAAGGCTTCAGTTCATATACCACGTGTAAAATGAGAAATATGAATGTCTTTTATTAAATTCCAGAAACTTAAAACCAAAAATCAATATGATTCTGAATCTGGACACTTTTTGCCATCGATTAGCGGAAAAAGTTTGTGTTCTGGGCCTAAACTGCAGGAAAAAAAGTTAATTTCTGAGCGAATTAACTTTTCAAAGAATGGCGAGGACGCAAAGCTTCGGACAGGTTCAAAACGAATGTGGCACCATATTAAATACTATCGTATTACAAGAATAGCAGATTTCTTTTCTTCGATTGACTTTAGCTGTGGCTATATCTTTCTCTCAAACTGTCTCCAAAATCTCATTTCCAACAAACTACCATGTCTATTCACAGTAAAATTAATTTTCTGTCGTTTCGGTTTCATCGCTTATTCTTTCATCTGTTGCCGTTGATTCGTTTATATACTTTTTGATTTTTCTTAACTTCATTCGATTAAACTTTAATTATTTTCTAATAGATGATGTTGGAATGAATTTATACTCTCGTTCTATGATTTAGATTATACTTTTCAACGGCCAACTTTTCTTAATTTTTACGGTGCTAAAAGAAATGAGAAAAATCATTCACCAGGAGACAGAATTGCCAAAAAGTCTCCATCTTTTCTTTCAACCTTCCAAATGCTATCAACAATTAAAATAATCATTTCTCAGTGAACCTGGCGTTTTAAAACAAAGATCATGAACGTTGAAAATTCATACAGTACCATTATTTGCATTAGAAAACTGGTCACTTTTGCTTTGGTGAGCAGATTACCGAGAAAATTTAGCTCTATGCATAAAATTAAATGAATATGCCGGCAGCATCAATTTTATAATTTGATATTGATTTTTCTCTGATGTCGACATAATCTATGAGCTTTTTTGGCTTATTCTTATGGCCCATAGTAACGCTTCTATTGGCGCCGTTAACCGCCAATGGTTTCACGTCGTAATACCCAGCGTATCATATATAGCAAAATTTAGTGAAATTAAACTATTTCTTGAGCTGCGAATATCATAATTGGCGTCAGCATGCTCCAGCGCGTAGAATAAGCCCAAAAAAGTGCTTTTTCAGCGTGTTTTCAATAAATGTGCGCGTACCCGTGGAAGTGGCACCAACCACGACAGATAATGATTTTATTACTTAAGTTTCTCTTAAACGTGGGATTCTGATTCCTTAAAACGCCTGAATTGGCGCATAAGGAAACGCTTGAACGAGGTTTAACTGTTTGCGATTCTTTTCTCAGTTCTAGTTACATCTTGTTTTACTCGACTTTTCTTCGAGAATATGATGTAATCAAGTTCGAGGGAACTAAGAAATGTAGCTCCCATGAAACAGGTAATTTCTCTCATCCTTCATAAATTCCTCTGCCTCGAAATTTTTCAGTTTGAATCAAGTAAAATCATCAACTAGTTTTGATAAATTATCCGAGAAAGAAGATTTTTCTCATCTCCATAACCAGTTATGAAAATTTGGTTTAACTATATGCGTAAGTGAATTTTAGAAGGATCTATCTTTTTTCTCTTACTCCCTTCTAATACTGCTGTGCGCTTATGCTTAGCATTACATAGGTTTTTTGCTCTACTTTGAAAAACTTGAAAATAGCAGTAGATACACAAAAAGAAATTTTGGATACCCGAAGGTCTTTCACAGGTTTTAAAAAACATATTTCCGTGTTCAAGCCTGTAAATTATTCTTTGGACACATTTTAAGGCTTTAAACGATTCAATACTTTAAATGCGTTCTTTCAGGTTATTCAGGTGGACTGAAGGTATTCGAACGCTTTATTTTTCTCAATACGTGTAATTTGTGAAAAATTTTAATGCGTTGTACTGCCTCAGAAGGACTTTTGAGACTCTAACAATTATCTGGCGTTGAAAAATAAGGCGTTCATTCAGCTGAATTCAGCTATGTTTTTATTCTCTTGTTTATCTGTTTATATATGTACACAAGGTGTTCTCCTTCCTCATAAAATCTGTCTATAATTAACTTTTGGAGTTTTTCGCGATCATACGAGCTCTCGTCATACCCATTATGCATTAAACATTCCACCTTTGCACACCATGTTCCCGAAGAAAAAACCGGGTAAAACATCGTGCAATAAATATAGATAATTCAATTCTTCACAGAGTTATTCGTTTAATTTATTTTATCCAGAAAAAGCGAGAGTCATCGAAGATCCGCGGCCTAGAATAACAATGACTCAAGCCAAACACAAACAAACCAACAAAAGTAAAGAGATAATAAGAGATATAACCCAGGTGGATGCAAATGAGGCATTAATATGATGTAAAAATGCCCATTAATGACCAAAAAATAGTGGCAATTAATGAACCATAAACGTGCCATTTTTTGTCTCGTTTTCATTGTCCTGGGAAATATCAAAAAAGAAGAACTGTAAAGAAGCTCTCCAGAAAAAGCAAAGAGGAGGCGATTGGGCTTCTCCCTTCAGGTTCTACTAACTCGTAAGATCAAAGATTCCAGATAGAGAACTAAAATATTGAAGAGCT